AACCTCCGATATGCAGATGATACCACTCTGATGGCAGAAAGTGAGGAGGAATTAAGGAACCTTGTAATGAGGGTGAAAGAGGAGAGTGCAAAAAATGGTCTGAAGCTCAACATCATAAAAACTAAGATCATGGCCACTGGTCCCATCACCTCCTGGGAAATAGAAGAGGAAGATATGGGGGCAGTGACAGATTTTACTTTCTTGGGCTCCATGATCAGTGCAGATGGAGACAGCAGCCACAAAATTAAAAGACGTTTGCTTCTTGGGAGGAAAGCGATGACAAACGTTGAGAGCATCCTAAAACGCAGAGACATGACCTTGCCAATGAAAGTCCGCATAGTCAAAGCTATGATTTTTCCTGTAGTGATGTATGGAAGTGAGAGCTGGACCATAAAGAGAGCTGACCGCCGAAGAATTGATGCTTTTGAATTGTGGTGTTGGAGGAGGCTCTTAACAGTCCCCTGGACTGCAAGGAGAACAAACCTATCAATTCTAAAGGAAATCAACCCTGAGTGCTGCATGGAAGGACAGATCGTAAAACGATGTTTCCTATGGGGGATTTTTGCTTGACGTTGATTAGATCCATGCTTCGCGAACCGTTTGTTCGCAAGACTACAATGTTTTCCGACTCCGCAAAATGGCTGCCCTATGTTTTCAGGACCCATGCTTCGCAGGGCAGCCGTTTTACAGCTGATTGGCGCTCGGAAAATGTCTTCCCCTATGGGCAGTCTTTGCTGGACGACGAGGTAATTTCCCCATTGGAACGCATTAAATGGGTTTCAATGCATTCCAATGGGGAACCTTTTTTGCTGTACGATGTTTTCGCTTAACAGCGATTTCAGGGGAACGGATTATCACTGTGGTGCGGGGGCACAACTGTACTGGCTTGGATGACTGGACAAATTGACACTGAATCCAGGCAACACAGAGATTCTTCTGACTAGTCAAAAGGCAGACCATGGAATAGGGATTCAGCCCATGCTGGATCAGGTTACACTTCCCATGAAAACTGAGGCGTGTATCTTGGCTGTATTTCTGGTTTCCTCTCTGTTCTCGGCAGTGGCCAGGAGTTTGTTTACATGACTACACCTGGTGTGCCTGCAGTGCCTGTTCCTTGAGGTGTCTGGCTTGGCTGCGGTGACACAAGCCCTGCTAACCTCCCGTTTGTATTACTGCAATACGTTGTGTGTGGAGCTGCCTTTGAAGAAGGTTCAGAAACTTCTACTGGTGCATACTGCTGAAGTCAGACTGGGGCTGGTTACTAGGGTTATGTAACCCTTTCGCCATTTACAGCAGCTTCACTGCTTGCCAGTTTATTTCTGAGCCTATTCAGATCGTTGGTCATGATCTTTAAAGCCCTTTACAACTCAGGTCAAGACTATCTGAATCATTTAAAAAAATCAAATGACTATGTGCCTTCTTGGTGTGACCATTTTCACAAGCACATTTAGTGAGGATGGAAGGGAAGACTTTTGTATATAGCTGTTCCAGATTATGGAACTCCCTTTCTCAGGATATTTAGTGAGTCCATTCATTCCTTTTTATTCTGCTGACAATTTAAAACATACCTCTTTAGATATAAAGTAACATGAGTAATATACTATAAGCAAAATTGGCCAGATATGAATCTTAATGGTGGACAAGCATATGTTATGAACTTTAGAAATGATGATGAATAATAATATTGGATGCTTTTGTTTTTGAGGCACGTATATTGAGATATCAAATATGTGTGAATTACAATAGTGACTATGTTGACAAGATTAGACATATAGTATCTTTTTGTCTATAAGAATGGAGATCTTTGATGAATAAACTGGCCTTGTGTGGATTTTATTGGTGGATAAGTAATCTTAAAGAGGAAACGAGAAATGTTTATGATGAGAATTGGACAGATGGAAATGCATAATTTAGGATTATGCATTTATCATAAATTTAGGATGTTAGACACTTAGATATACGAAATAGGGATATGAAATATAACGTGTAGATACACATGGATATACTATGGTGTAGTATGGGAATAAGGCATAAGCTCTGCTGTAGTCAGAATTTATATAATGGATAAATTGGTATGGGAAATACCTCCCTGCTTATATGTTTTGTCTTACATGTTCTTGATTGTCTTGTAGGTTTTTGTTTGTTCTGTATGTATGCATATCTCAAAAATAATAAAATTTATTTTAAAAAATACCTCTTTAGAAAGGCTTTTGGGGAGTTAGAAGAAAACTGAGATGACAAGCATTTAGAGGCTTTTAAAATCTGTTTTATAGTTTTCATATAATGGCTTAAATCCTGTTGCTGGAAGTTAATGCTACTTAAAGCTAATGATGTCATCAGCTGTGGCGATTTTTT